GCTGCAACAAGAAGCCTGTGCACCGCAACGAATAGCCCCCGCTCACCACAACTAGAGAAAGCCCACGTGCAGCAAGGAAGACCCAACGCAGCCAAAAATAAATAAATAAAACATAAATAAATTTATTTAAAAAAACCCCTTAACTCGCAACTCTCACGTTGCGCATAATTTTAAAGTCAACATCAGCAAGGCCTTTCCTGACTACAAGAACTGAACCCTCACCCCAACCCCTTACTTCCTATGCCCCATCCCAGCTTCTTCTTCCTCTATAGCCTCACCTTTCACTGTATCATCCATATTACTGAGTCATCTTGTTTATCGTCTGTCTCCCACTGAATGTAAGCAGGATCGCCCTTAGGCTGGGCAGGAAGGGCCTTCGCCCTGTGCATTAGAAGGCTCTGCTCTGGCCCTCCTGCCCCTCCTATGGAGCTAAGGAGCTGTGACTGCTAGAACCTGTGCCCCCCACCCTGCCCTCTAGACCATTCCCTGCATAAATTGTCCCAGACCTTCCCCAGGTCTGTCCTGAGGGCAGCCAGCACAGCCCAGGTGTGTACTCCTAGGCCCAAGGGGTGGTCAGTGGAAAGCTATTTGTGTAGGTCGGTGGACAGAGCTTGGACGGGTGGGCTGGGGAGTACATACACACACACACATGTGCACAAGGACCCTCATGGTGTAGGATGGAGCCTGGGGTAGGTAGAGTAGTAGGCTGACCACCGCTCCTGGGCTGGGGTCTAACTCTGCCCGTGCAGCCGCATTCTGCCTAGTACTCTAGGTGTCTGGGAATCCAGATTAAAACCTGGCCTTCCAGATCGCCATGAAGACATGCTTGTCTATGTAGGAAGATAGGATATCTTTTATTTAACAGTTTTTGACCTAGACTCACATGGTAGGTGGGCCCTACACACATTTTTTTTCCTGGAGCCCCCCATATATTAGGGCTGGGATTTTTAAGTTTTCTGCATTTCTGTATCCCCTGCAACCTAGAACAGTGCCTGGCATAGAACGCATACTCAATAAACAGTTGTTAAATTAAGGAATAAAGAAGTCCTGGGGTGATGCCCCACATGCCCCAGATGCAGTTGGAAATGCTGTGGCTTTTGTGTGTCAGGATCTTAGAGTCTCAGGGTCAGGTGGGGCCAGCTCTGCCGTGGAGGGGGCTAGGCCATACCTGAAGAGCCTCCTCCACTGCCTGCCTGCCCCATGTTCCCAATGTAGCTAGAGTTTTTTCCTACGGGTAAAAAGAGCGCATACTAGGGAATTAAGGAGACCTGGACCCCAAAACTGTCTCCGTCACTTGTGTGAAGGGCACGGCCACATGTGTGGCCGCATGTGTGAAGGGCACGGCCAGTCACCACCGCCGCCACTGTCACCATCACCATCACCATCACAGCGTCCAAGGCAGTTCCTGCCGCAGGGCAGCCAGTGTGGCTGTTCCACCCTCAGCTTCCCTAGCCCTCAGCGGCCAGGCTGGGAGGCGCTGGCCGTGCTGTGGTTCGAGTGGATGGTGCCCTCTGCTGGGTGCAGAGGGGAAGGGCCATCGGGGAAGCCACAGCCACCCTAACCACTGACGTCCCTTTCTGCAGTCGGGAACGCTAAGGGTAGGAAGGGCTGTTTCCGCCCAAGCTGTGAGTGTGGAGATAAAGGAGCAGCACCCAACGCTGTCAGTCTGTCAGCCACCACCACGCCGTGATAAGAACAACACTTAGGCAGCGCTCCTGTGCCAAGCACCGTTCTAAGCACTTCACAGATACTGACTCATTTACTCCTCCACCTTCCAGGTGAAGAAAGTGAGGCACAGAAAGGTTAAGTGATTAGCCTAAGGCATCGTGCCTGGAGGTGCTGGGATTTGAACCTGTGCCCAGAACCACGCCTCCTGGGTGGATTATTTTCGTGGGAGGTGGGAGGTAGGCTCTGCCTTTAGCCAGAAGGAGTGGAGCCCCCAGTGAGTCTGGAACTGGACACAAAGGGTGTGAGCTGCCCAAGGGGCTTCCCAGGGTGACTGCCCCCACCCTTTCAATGGCAGGACCGTTGCCCGGCTGACCTCAGGGCCCCCCCTTACTGGCCATCCCTCAGCATTTCCCTACCTGGGTCTTCTTGCTGCATCCCTGTGTGGGCCTGTGGTTAAGGAAAGTCCATGTCTAGCATAGGAAGCCAGGAATTTGAGGCCTCAGCTACGTGCCAACCTTCCGGGGATGAAATCCATCCCCTCAGGCCCCTTCAGGGACTGGCAAAGCCCACCTGGTGAGATGGCTCCTATCTTCAGCCTTTTGGGGAGGAAAAAAAAGATTGTCAGGTCAGCCACCAGGGAAAAGGCATGGTGAGAAGTGAGGCCTGGGTTCTGCCCATCTCTGCCCCGCTGGAGCGATCTTGGGGAGTCCCTGCTTTTGGAACCTCTATCTTTTCCAATCTGAAAAATGACAGGGGTAGATTGGGGGCAATTTTCAAAATGCTCTGCATTTGGGTTCTTAAGGAGAAACACTGGGAGGATGAGGCCAAAGGCAGGTCTCTGGGCACCCTGACCCCTTCTTCCCAAAGGTTTACTTCAATTATTTTCTTTGTTGGACTTGGGTTCTGCAACTTTGGCTTTAAGTCTGGGGGAAAATCATTTAATAGAATGAGCCTGAGGGGTCCTTTCAGCACCAACCCGTCTGAACCCTCCACTTAGAATTAGGCAGCCTCGATCACAACCAAGACCACAGGCCCCCTCACCCCTCCCCAGTTGTTGGAGGGCTGGCTTTTTTCTTTTTCGGCTATACTGCGTGGCACTCAGGATATTAGTTTCCCGACGGGGGAGTGAACCCACACCCCCTGTAGTGGAAGCGCAGAGTCTTAACCACTGGACCGCCAGGGAAGTCCAAGAAGGCTGGCTTTGAAGCATCTGAAGAGATGGATGCTCCAGGGAATTTATTTTATCATTGTTAAGGCCGAAAAACTACAAGTACTAATGTCCATGGATGGTAGTAAGATTACATACATGCCAGCACATCCAAACTAGATGTGATGGAGACGATAAGGCAATCCTTCTACGTCCTGTTATGAAAAGATATAATGCAAAATGTGTATGTAATGCATAGGGGGGAAAAGACTGGAAGGATGCACGTTCAACTGTTAGACCTCAAAATGTGAAAGATTCACATTCAGGGTAGGCAAAGCAAACATGCAGGTGGTCCCCATTGGTATGGCGGGCCACACTGGTTATTTACAGCCAGCACTCACTCAGTGGTTAGCACTGGAGACCTACCAGCTGCAAACAGTTTGACTTATTATAGGCCCTAAAGACCAGAGTCCATCTTTCAGATGAGACGCAGGTCCCGGGTGAGTGACATAGCATGCGTCCGCAGGTCCCGAGTGAGAGAGTGACATAACATCCATCCCCGTCATACAGCCCAGGCTCGTTCCTTCCAAATCACTCAGAGGCTGGTGGCGGGTTCCATCACCAAGGGAATCCAGATCCACCCGCAGAGACGAGGCTTGGCTAGGAAAGGCTGCTTTTGCTCCTCCGCTCCCTCCAAAAATCTCAGGGGAGGAAGGCCAGCCTGGACAGTGGCTCCTTGGTTTTATTATTAGTCTCAGCTGAAGATAGGGTTTCAGGCTTTATTCAGGCTTCTCAGAGAGGCATTTAAGATAAGGGGCAGCAGGTGTTTGCTGGCTGAGACACCTAATCCTCCCCGCACAACCTTAGCAGCAGTAGCAGCAGGGCCCTGGTAGAGGGGAAGCTGAGGCTGCGGGAGCCAGATGCTGCAGCTTGAGGGAAAGGCAGGAGGTGCTGTGACCGTGGGCTCAGGTGCTACGGACCAAGGAGCTTTCTTAGCAGACTCAGTTCCCTTTAAACTTCCCCATCCAGGGCCTGAGGCTTCAGGACACCCACGGCCTCACGCTTCAGAGCCTTGGTCTTAAACTCACAGGTGCATCAGAATCACCTGGAAGGCTTGTTAGACAAGATTGCAGGGTCCTGCTTGCAGAGTTTCTGATTCGGCAGGCGATGCCGACGCTGCTGACCCAGGAACCGCACTTGGAGTACCATTGCTTTAAAGAATCAGTCACTCCTGCAGGAAGGACACATTGATTTCAACTTCAGCGACATTTTCAGCTTCACTTCGGATTCTTTTCTTCTGGTTCATTGCAAAGACAAATTTAAAACTTCGCTTTAACAAAGACACACATGGAATCCCTGCTGCCTCTTCATCCTTATTCCTGCATCTGTGCCCTGGTGTTGTCAGGAATGTTCCAATTTCATTGGCATCCTGGGTGAGTTCTCTAATTTTCTGTCTCTGGCTTGATTTTGATGATGATCAGGCGTCATTTAAAAAAAACACAATGAGGCCATTCTTTAAAGGAGGAAGATCCCCTCAGAGGGTGACTGTGAGGATTTGTTTAGAGGAAGTAACTGAAATTAAGGGCTGTTTGGGTCTAAACAGTACTGAATAAATGGTAGCTGTTACCAATGAACACAGATAGCGCTTACCATGTGCCAGATGTTAATTCACTTAATCTCCATAAAAACTCCCCATTTTATACATGAAAAATCTGAGGCAGGTAGAGGTTAAGGGACTTGCTGGGAAGGAGCGGAGCCAGATTCTCCCCAATTCCTGCCTTTCGACACAGAGCCCACAGAACAGGAGAGGAAATCTTCACGTACTGCACCATGTATGTGTGCAGCCACTGGTCCAGAAAAGACATGGCCTGCAGCCCTGGTGCCGCTAAGCCCAGGGGTAAGCAAGTTAACGGTTCTCACACAGAGTTAGCAGTTCTGAATCTGTAGGGAGGACAGCAGAAGGTTTGCCCCTACCTGGGCCTGTCAACAGATCCTGAGCTTCCTCTACCATCAGGAGGAAGCTGGGGGGAAGCCCGCAGGGCTAAAAGCATTTTCTCCCCCTTGTACAACTCTCAAAGTTCTCGAAAACCACTGAATTGTACACTTTAAATGGGTAAATGATATGGTGTGTGAATTATACGTCAATAAACTGCTACTAAAAAAAAAAGTTCACTCCCCTGGCACCTCTGGGAAAAGTTCCTTTAATAAAAAAGTTCTAGTACATTTACAGCATTGTCATCACCCTTCCTCTACACCACTCGATAGGGAAAGTAAAAAATAAAGGACCACCTAAACACGCTCGGTATAAAAACGCAGTAATCCATTCAAACAGGAGGCCTCGGGGCCCAGACATCAGAGAGAAATGCAACGCATGAGGGCACATGAGCCAGGCAGCTCTGGCCTGGGCTTCTGGAGGACCCCAGGGGCGGCTGAGGACCTGGTTCTAACTTTTTGAAAATAGCATTAAAAAAAAAAAAATCCAGATTGCAATAAGAGGCCTCTTTCTAAGGAGGAGGGTCCATTCCAGAGAGAACGTCAACATGGGGGAGTCAGAGTCGGTCCAGGCCCGGTACACAGGGCTGAGCATCTTACGGCAGGGGAGAGACTCCCGGAAATTCGGCAGCCCTGGCCGAGGCTAAGAGGTTTTCACTGTTGAAATCAAACTGCCAGGGTCCCTCCATGCTGAAAGGCTTAGAAACCTGCCCCTTTAACGTCATGCCTCTTCCCTCCAAGTTGCTAAGGCTACTTCTCAACAAGCTTCGAAGTCCCCGGCCGAGGTGGGGACGGAGACCCCTTGGAGATGCAGCTGCGGGCCTGGTGTTTAGGCCCCCGGCGCTGCAGGCAGGGAGGCCTAGTCGTCCTGGCCCCCGCCATACATGTCTGCCAGCTTCTTGAAGCGGCTGCCCCATTCATTCAGATAGTCGTAGTCTTGGTCCTGGTCGGAAGCAGAGGAGGTGAGCGAACTCAGGGAGGCGGCATCGGAGCCGCTGCCCTCATAGTCGAACACCAACAGGGAGTCATAGGGTGGGGCCGTGGGGTCCGTGTTGGCCGCCTTCAGGTTCTGGGGGACAGAGAGCAGGGGGTTAGGAGCTGCGGGATCAGACACCTGGCAGCTGTGAGAGCCCCGGCAAGTTAACTGAGCCTGCATTTCTCCATCTGCGAAGCCAGCTCTCCCCTCCTTTAAGGTTTTGAAGGTTGAAAATGAAATAATGCACATAAGTCCTCAGCACAGGGCCCAGCCTGGAGCGAGCACTCAGTGTGACAGGCCAGCAGTTCAGGGTGGGGGCTCTGGAATCAGACTGCACACACGATGTGTAAACTTAACCTCTCCGTGCCATTTTTTCCCCCCTCATCTCTAAAATGGGAAGACTTCTTATAGTTTTAGAGGAATAAATGAATATACGTAAATATAAAAGCACTTATTAGCATAGTACCTGGCATATAGTGGAACACTATTTCCTCATTTGTGAAATGAGGAAGACAGCAGGATTCCTACTCTGCAGAGTTGATGCAGGCAGGCATTAATTGAGACAGTATCTGCAAACTGTCCAACACAGATATTCCGGAAACTGTCTTCATCTAACCGGAGGGAAAATCTCCTGGTTATTTGGCTCCAAGGCAAAGTTGCCCTGAGCAACTTTCCCCAGCGACTTTTGTTTTTGCCCAGGATTCTCAAATATGCTCAGGCTAAAGAACAGAGTCTGACCACCAGGCTATTTCTAGAAAGCAAGAAAGGTAAGAAGGGTTCAAGCCAACGTGAGGTATCCTGACCACCCATTGAGCTCTGTGCCCACTGCTGCTTCCTTGAACTCCCCAAATCCATCCATCCTCCCCTCCTTCCTTCTTTCCTCCCTCCCCTCCCATCTCTTCCTCTTCCTTCCCTCCCTCGTATTAAAAACCTCCTTTGACTCACTGCTATCAAGGTACCAGGCTGTGCTAGGCTCATATCACTCATCTTCTGTGTACCTAGGTTGTGGTTCTCACAGCGCTGGCTATATATCTGATTTCTTTGGGGAACTAAAAAAACATCAGAGCCTAAAAAAAATGAATGTCTGGGTCCCAGGCACTGATATTTTTCAAAATTCCTCAGATAAATCAAATATGTGACCAGAATTCAGAATATCAGAGACACTTAGCTATTAGCAACAGTAGCTATCATTACCTAATACATGTTAGGTACCAGGCCAGCGGTTCCCAAACTTAAATTATCTGGGAATCTTTAAAAGAATTCTGAAGCTCCAGTCACATCCAGATCAACTGAATCACAGTCTCAGGGGGGTGAGTCAGAGGCATCTGTTTTTGATGTTCCCTGTGCTAGCACGGTTCCAAGTGATCACGCATCCAATCCCTAAAGCACCCTATGACAGAGGACACCAACTCTGCTCCAGATTGGAATCACCTGAGATCTTTAAAAATTCAAATCCAGAGAGTCTGGCTACAGAGTTTTCTCCTGACAACCACTACATTTGCTGAATAAAGAAATAATTCCTAACCTATTCTTAACCACTCTGAAACTTAGGGTTTTATGGAGGAGGAACAGAAGCTCAGAAGTTACTCAAATATGCCAGAGGTCACACAGCAGGTTGGAGGTAGAGTCAGGATTTGAACCCAGAGCCAAGACTCCAAGCCCGTCTGTGCTCGTGCTGCTGATGCTTGAATAAAGGGCTGCCCTAGGATGGCCCCCCATGCCTCACCTCGATGATGAAGTTGCCAATTTCATCTGGGTTGGCTGGCCGTGGACGGTATGTGGGTGTGGGGATGAAGGTTGGCGCCACATCGTTGCGGAGAACCAACTCAGGCCGGGCCTCCAGGCCCCGGTGGAGTTGGGTGATGTCATAGTCCTTCATGAAAGGGGAAGGTCATGGGATGGAGAAGGACCCTTCCACTCCCCCCATTTACATTTCACCCTAGTTCTGTACCATTTGGATGTTCTGGTTCATGGGTAGGTCTTAGAAGACAGATAATGTCAGAGATCTCTGAAAGCCCTAGTTTCCAAACCCCCTCCTCCCCAGTTAAGCACAGGTTCAAGGTCAAGGTGGCTGGGGCCAAAGAGACTAGAGCCATGGACCAGACACCCTTTCAGAAGATGGATGCTTCAGACCAGGGTCTGGTTGATGCAGCTGACATGGTTAATTGGTTGACCCAACCATCCCTGCCAGTGGCTGTGGGGGCCATCCACCTCCCGACCCCCAGACCCCCCAGTGCCCCACCTGGTCCTCCTCGCCACCCCCCTCTTCGCCGTAGTAGAAGACGTTGTCACGGGTGTCGTCTTCTGGGAGCAGAAGGGGCTCCTTGATCTTCCGTTTCTTTCTCACCAAAAACAGGAGCACCAGCAGGAGGACTGCAAGAGATGGGGAGTGTGAATATTCACCCCCCAGCAACCACACGGCTGGCCAGGACCCACAAACCCCCAGAGTCCCATCTAATTCTAGACCCCTCTACTCAGTAGCCAGAGCTTAACACACTTCAGTGGCCCCCTTGCACCTAGGAAAATCCCTGACTCCCATCAAGCCTACAGGACTGGCCCCTACCTGTCTCCAAGCCTCCCTGCCACCCAAGTCTAGTCACATTGGCCTCCTCGGGGTTCCTCAAATATACCCAGCAGTCTCCCACTTCACCTGGAACACTCTCTATGCCTATGCATGGCTCTCATCCTTGAGCTCTCAGCTTAAAATCACCTCCTCCTACTGGCATTCTGACTTCATTCCCCCACCTGTAATTCTGTATCATTTTACTGTCAGTCTTCCCATATTGGTGGTACTGGTCCTTAAGGAAACCCTCCTTTGTGGGGATGGGAATCTCCCAGCAGATGTTACTTTTCAACATGACTCTTTTTCAGTCACTAGGTGTCCTCTAATAACCATAGACTTTAAGTTAAAAGCAAGACAGTGTGGGCTTCCCTGGTGGTGCAGTGGTTGAGGGTCCGCCTGCTGATGCAGGGGACACGGGTTCGTGCCCCGGTCCGGGAAGATCCCACATGCTGCGGAGCGGCTGGGCCCATGAGCCATGGCCACTGGGCCTGCGCGTCTGGAGCCTGTGCTCCGCAACGGGAGAGGCCACAGCAGTGAGAGGCCCGCGTACGGCAAAAAAAAAAGCAAGACAGTGCAACTTTGATATAACGCAGTAATGTGAACTTAGGTGCAAACGCTATTTTGGAATTTTAAGAGAGGGACTAGGTTTTAGTAATATGGTTTGAAAGGCTGACAGTCTATTTGGACACAGTGGGGACTGGCCAGCTAGTGCCTAGTTGCTCGCCTTACCCCCAGTTAATCCCATATGAGGAGGGTACCCCCTGGCCCTCTCTATGGCTGTTTAATGTAAGAGGATAGAGCCACTGTTTAGCTTTATCCCTTTTTTTGACTGCCGGTGGAACCACTGTCTCCCTCTGGCCAGACAAAACTGACCTAGCCTTCTTTGGGAGCCCATGGGTTCTCAGGATGCACACCCTCTGTGGGCTAGACCGTGACTCCTCCCTCACCTTTTCCTCCCCCCTGGGTCTGAGGAAAGGCAGGAGGCAACCCGGACTTCTCACCTGCACCCAAAGCTTATATATCCAGCTGCCTACTGATACCTCCATTTGGACTCTTCCCACGGTCCTTCCCAAACTGGTTAATGGAAGCTCCATGTTTCTACTTGTTCAGGACTTGGAATCATAGATGGCTCTTTTCCTCATACCACATATGAATCTGAATCGATTCTACCTTGAAACGTGACCACCTCTCACTCTGCCACCCTGGGTCTAAGTCACAACTACCATCTTACCCCTAGATTATGGCAGTAGCTCCATATGGCAATCTGTCCCCACCCTTGGGGCCCTCTACAGTCTGTTCAGTAGGAATCCTATAAAATTCAAGTCAAATCACATTGCTCCTCTGCTCCAAACCCGATGACTTCCCATTTCAACCAGAGTGCTTACAATAACCTACAAGGCCCAACACAAGGCTCCGCCACACCCATCACTTCCCTGACCCCATCTCATCTCATCTCTTACTCTCCTCCCTCTTGCTTTTTCCATCCCAGTCATTGCTGTTTCCACACATAAAGCACAGAGCTGCCTCAGGGCCTTTGCACTTGATGTTCCCTAGGTATCTGCGTGATTTGCTTGCTCACCTCTTTCAGGTCTTTACTCAAATATCCCCTTCTCTGTAAGGCTACTTCTTGCCCACCCTACTTAAAATGGCAGACCTCCTTCCCTGACTTTTTTTTAATCCATAGCAACACCTATTTCTCTGCCAGATTATTTGTCGTCTGCTCGCTGCACTGGAAAGTAAGCTCCATGAAGGCAGGGACTGGTCTGTTTTGTTAAGTGTTGTACCCTCAGCGCCTAACAGTGCTTGCTACACAGTATGATGGCTAAATAAAGCTTGCTCTTGTATTCATATGTGATTGAACGCATGTTTTCTGTGTAAGGACAATTCAGAGAGTGAAAAAAGCAAATGTGATAGGTTCTACCTTTAGAGCAAAGAAATTAGTTTTTAACTAAACATTTCTGCTCACTAGACCAATGGCTCTCAAGCTCTAACATGCATCAGAATCCCCTGAAGGGCTTGTTAAAACACAGATTACTGAGTCTTACCCCTAAGCTTCTGAATCAGTAGGTCAGGAGTGGGCCAGAGAATTAGCCTTTCTAACAAATTCCTGGTGATGCTAACGCTGTTGGTTGGAGACCACGACTTCAGAACCACCGCTCTAGCCACTAGATGATCTGACAGCAGGGTCGAGTCTGCTCCCCAATGTATCCCCAAAGCCTGGCACCTTCCAGAACCTCCATCAACATCTATGGATTGAATGACACTCCAGGAATTAAGAGTTTAAGGAACAGTTGCACAATGTTGGTGGCCCCTTAGTCCGTGAAGTTCAGGGTAGAATCAGGTCTTCTAACTATCCCGTCCTCAGAAGGGGAAGGGTGCCGGCACTCACACAGCAGAGCCAGGACAGCACCCAGGATGGGGAGGAGGAAACTCCCCTTCCAGCGTTCGGGGCAGGTCTCCACGTGGCCGTGGCAGTCACAGACGGTGGCCCTGATCACTGTCAGCTGTTCCTTGTTGCCGTGGTCGGACAGAGAAAGGTGCACGTCGTATGTGTCTTGCTTCAGGAACTTCTTCAGGGACAAGGCCACTGTGTCTCCTGGAGTGGACAGACAATTATTCATCTCAGGAGACCACAAATGGTGGGAACCGAGCACACCATGACGGAGGTTTGAGGAGGCAGCCTCTGCATCTGGGCAACAGGAAGCAATATCCCCAAAGCACATTATACCAAGTGTTAAAAACTGATATTCGGCCAAAGCCAAATTTACCACTGTGGAAAGGATTATTTGGATAGAAGAATAAATTCATCACTTTATTTAAAATAAATCAATAATCACAGCATTTTTTAAATACGATGTTTTTAAAAAGTCATGGCATGTAGAGCCAATAATTTCTCAGTACCATTAGCTGCTAGATTATTCCTTGCCGCAAAACAAACAAACATTGTTCTTCCTAAAAGATAGCTAACCCAATCTTTTAATATTTACATTAACTGGCCACCTGTTTTCCTATTTGAAAGTTCACTACCATTTATTATTGCAGCATTTTGCTCTTGCAATAGTAAATATAATGTTTACACCTCAACCGTATGATAGAATTTCAGTATCTGAAACACGGATATTCTGAGTGAGCATCAATTATTAATAAATCCAAATGCATATGACTTGGTGATGTAACTGATGTTGTTAAGCAGATCAGAGAGGGTGCTAACCTGTGTTATCCAAGCATTAGTGACTGCACACAAGTTCAGAGATGCCGGCAGTGAGGCTGCAACGGGCACTGTGCTAACCAGCCTTCAAAGGCCCGGGGCGGGCAGCAGGCAGCCACAGAGCAGAAGCCAAGCCTCAGTGTGGCCTGCACGACGGGTACCACTCTGGGGAGGGTGTGCAGCACTCCTGGAGTGGGGAGGGGGGCTGTGTTTGTGGGTGAGAAATATAGGGTCAGAGGCCTCTCTGAAGAAAGGCCTTCCGTTTAGACCCAAGTTTCTCAAAGAGGGCACTATTGGCTTGGATGGAACTATTCTTCATCATGAGGAACCTTCCCAAGCATTCAAGTCCTCACCACTAAATGTCAGTAGTGTCCCCCCCATCACTGGGACATTCAAAACCAACCCCACGTTTCTAGCCCACCCACCCTCAGGCTTGCTGGCCTATTTCAGCAGTGACCTCAAGCCACTTTCAGTTCAAAGGCTCTGCACGCTCGCTGGGACCCTCTTAGTTAAAAGGCCAGAAGGGAGAATTCACCCTGTTGCCATTCGGCAGCGGCAGGCAGAGAGAGTTCTGTAGGCTAAATGTTTGGTCTACCAAGTGGAGAGGCCAACATGGGGTATTTCACCCAAACATCCCTCCTGCTATCCTGTTCCCACGCTGGAGGGCTGAATTCTCAGCTGATGATGGTGCTGGTGGCGGTGTCAGTGACTAAACTGACACTTGCTATGTGCCAAGCCCAACTCTGATATCCACCCCAACTTTAAGAGGCAGGTTCTGTTATCCCCATTTTACAAATGCAGACATTGAAGCTTAGGGAGGTCAAGTAAGCAGCCCAAGGTCACACAGGTGTAGAGTCTGGATTAACTCCTCTGACAAAAAAACACAGACAGAACAACTAAGTCAAAACCAAGAACCGGGTATCAATGCTAGTATCAGGTGTTGGCACCACTGAGCTTTGGGCCTAATGCTCACACTTGACAGAGTCAGATCTGTGATTGTTTGGGAAACAGTGGTGGTGAAGATGGCCACTGACATCTACCGAGTACTGATATACCAGACAAGATGCCTTTCAGGCACTCATTTAATCTTCACAGTGATTGTATGGAGGTAGGTACTATCATGGCAGCATTCTACAAGTAGGGAAACTGCAGAACAGTGAGGTTCAGTAACTTGTCCACAGTCACGAACCTCGTAAATGGAAGGGCTGGATCTTGAACCAAGGCATTCTGGCTCCAGAGTCTACGCTCTGTAAACGATACAGTCAGGGCGGGGGAAAATTGGCTTCTAGGCCACAAGGTGGTGACAGGAGACCAATTTGGGTTCCCTCAAGGAAAGGTGCTGGATATACATCCCCAAATCACAGGAATCATAAAAATGAGACAAGATGTGTGTTTGAAGCAGGTCTCCCCAGTCCTTTCTGGGCGGGGCTCAGCAGCAGTAATAGGTACCAGGCATTTCGTTACTTCGGGGCAGAACCTGAATGTTCTGGCTCCCCATTCCCCTCCTGGGGGACTCTAGCTCCAAGAGGAAGAGGAAGATGCTTTAAACCAGAGTGAGCAGGGTTTCTCCAGGGGCCTTACTGGCACTTGGGCCTGGATGCATCTTTCTCACACACCTGGGTCCTTGCCCACTTGATGCCAGCAAGTCCTTTCTCCAGTCCTGTGACAACTGAAAAACCACTCAAGGCTGAGGAGCTCCAGGGGGATGGGAAAGAGGAAGGACAGGGAGGTGGCTGGGAGCAGGGATGTGGGGGTGAGGGACCCCCGCTTCAATTTCTGCTCCACTGCTTATCCACACTGTGCCCTTGGGCACACTATTTAACCTCTCTGAGCCTCATTCTCATCTGTAAATAGGGATAAAAATACTGATCACAGAGGATGGTAGAAATATTAAATATGGAAAAGTACAAAAAGCATCTTGCATATCGCCAGGATTTGATAAATGGTAAGCTGCAAAGTATCCTGGTATGGCAGACTGCCTGCATTCCAATCCTGGGGCCGTCATTTTCTAACCATAATGCCCTTGGCAATATATTTAAGCTTCTGTAAGCCTTGGTTTCCCCATCTGTAAAATGGGTGCACATGCATGTATGTGTGAGATAACAGTACCTTCTTTACAGGGTTGTTGTGAGGTTTAAGTAGCCGAATCTACTTAAAGCACACATAGCACACAGCAAGCATAGCACACAGCACATAGCACACAGCAAGCATGCTCAGGCATGTTAGCTGTTATCACCGTGCTGGAGTTCTGACTCCCTCATTATGTGAGAGTGAGAAAGGCACATCCCATGTCTCTGGGCCTGTTTTTCCAATTGTACAGGCAGGTGGTTGAGCTAGAACGGTCTTTAAGGGCTCCTGTGGAATTCCAAAGGCTTACACTAAGTTAATAAGCAGCATTTAACTGACATTCTTGAGGAGACTGGTAATTCGGTGACCCACAAGACACTGGGGCAAGAAGGTGTGTCGGGTCTTGGTAGGGGGCAGACACCCATCTGCCACCACCACTCAGTTACCTTTCTCATTGACCTCTGCCGTCCAGTAGATGTCCGAGTCGTGTGTGAGCTGGGCCCGGAAAGGGGAGGTGTGGGGGGACAGGTCCTTGTCTGTGATGTTCAGCACCTGAGGCAAAGGGCTTTGGTTGCAGATGGTGATCTGACAGGGCTCAGGGACCGGGCCATGGTCATTGACATCCATCAGTGTTAGCAGGAGGGTCCCCGTGCCAGTGGTGGGAGGGCTCCCTGTTTGTAATCACACACATGATCTCTTTTCAGCATGTGCCCTTGGTTGGGTTGATGAATCAATGTTAAGCTCCCCCAGGACCTACCCAATCAGCCTCAGGAGGGTCCTATTTACTGTCTAACTGTAACCTTTCAAGAGCCTCTGAACACTAGCTTCATTATAGATCAAACCAGTGATGACAAATGCATGGCAAACATACCATCATTCTCATTTTGTGTCCATGGCAGACATTACTAACTGATCACAACACAGCTGCAGTCACTTCATCCAGACAGCCACTACCAATCTATTACAAAGAGAAACCTATTGGCCACCTCAGGGTTGATGCAGTGTTTGCTGATCAGCTTCAGGGAAGTTTTGCTTCCCAGCCCTGCAGTAACCTCTCGCCTGCCTCCAGGCCTTGGTTCAGTATGTGTCAAATAGAGATGGTAATTACATCATCACCCCCAATCCTATCATGGTGTGACATCACTAATCAATCATGACACTTTCCAGGCAGCCCTTTTCAATCACTCATAAGGGGAAACCAACAGGCCAATTCAGGGCTCAGTGAACCACAAACTTAGGCTGAAAGGAGTCTTCAGGATACTTCCTAACTCCTGGGTCTTAGGGAACTGGAAACCAGCCAACCCTAGGACCACCCTTTAAAAGACCCCTCTGAGAGACCCCTTTGACCTCCCAGCTAGGATTGCTGACACCGCTTCCCCACACCACACTCTGTCTGTGGAGGGGACATGTGGTGTCCTTGGCTCCAAAGGTGCTCATGTGGAGGGGCTGGGAGGAAGCTCTCACCATCATCCGTGGCCAAGACCATGACTTCGTAGATGTTCGTCCTCACAAACTGCTCATCCTCACGGTCCAAGACCCCTGCAGCAGTGACCTGCCCACTGTCTGGGTCCATTGCTAGCCACCCTGCTGGGTCTCTCAGGATGTGGTAGCTGGAGCAGAAAAGTTGAGAAGAATCACACTCAGAATACTTAGAGTTCTGGAGTCATCATTCAAAGCCTCCTCAGGCCAACTGGCTGAGGGTTTCATAGGACTCAGGGCTCCTAAGCAGGATTACGTGGAAAATGCATCTCACCCCCAAATGGGAGCCTGAGCAGAAGGTGGGGTCCCAGCAGGGACACATGAGAGGGAGCAGGAATACCTGTCCCCTGGACTTCAGCCACGTGGAGGGTAGGAAGGGAAGGCCCTGTACAGGGGTGACGTTCAAAATATTTAATAGTCTTTATGGCAATTAGAACAAATTCTGGCTATAATAAACAACCCACCCAACAGTATCCACGCATTTAGCTGAATTTAAGCCCAGCTCCTATGTACCTGATCTTCTGACTCCCGTTGTCGGGGTCCCGCGCGGTGTAGGTGCAGACAGGCTCACCGATGGAGATGCCCTCCTGGACCTCGATGACTTTGGAGGGTGGGACGAACACGGGCGGCTCATTCACATCCTCCACGTGGACCACTATGGTGGCCGTGGAGGTTGGGAGCTTCACCACAAAGGGAGCCTCGTTGATCACTTCAACGTACAGGGTGTGCTGGTTTTTGGCCTCGAAATCCAAGCCCTGGGACAGAACAGGAAGGAGGACCTGAGCCGCCATTTTGTGAGGAGGCCCCATGCAGTGCTGTGATGCCAGAAGGGCCCACAATGGGGGGCTGGAGGCTCCCACCAGCAACAATACTGCCCCTTCCCTACCCCATAGAGCCTCCTGCATTTCCTGAGTGGACATCCAGTGGGGCCTCTCAGACCACCACCCCAAAGGCAACTAGAGTAGTAAGCCCTAAGCCTAGAACTGGTTCCCTATGGGGTGATGACACCCCCTAGGGGGTGTTGTAGAAACTTGGAGGAGGCATTTCTAGGTGTCCTAATGACTGGGGATGCCACTGGCATTTACAGGCTGGGGCAGGGACACAAAGAACTGTCCCATATCCCATGTGACTTGCCAATATCACCATGGACATTCATGTATTTATGGGTGTGATGTTCTGTTTATATTTATAGTCTAGAACGTGTTTTACATATAAACCGAGTTTTTGGTGTGGTTTTAATTTATACTGAATTTTCCAGGAATGCAACTTCTGAGGGGAGCTTGTAATTTGATTTGTTCACGTCTTTCCCAAAGTTGTTTATTTGCTGTTCTGGAAAAACATCAATACCACTCGTGATATGAGTCACTAGAGTGACATATAGTATCTACTACATCTGGACGATGCGCAAGAAACTAACCGCTTCATTATGTTTTCTAGTGTACTTGTGCCCAAAGGTTTACATATGGAAATATTTTATTATCAGTAACTTTTCCTGTAAAATTCTCTTTTATTTTACAGTTAGAGCATTCCATTTTTCTAGAAATTACATAAGTTAGAGAAGTTATATTATAAATGAAATTCATTTCACAGTGTGAAAGGGGTGTTACAAAGTTTTGGTTGCAAGGAGGGGACAGCCTTTAAAGTATTATATAAAGACCCCATTTCTCAAACTGGGCCATTCTTCATAATAAACCAGGAGGTAAAAGAAATCAAAGAAAGATTGGACCCATCTTCTTGAAGCATCAATTTTATTAAAAGACTTTTTGAGAGGCAAGGGTATGCCTAACTACTAAGTAATTTAAAACATTTTACTATCCAAACACCTAGACACCTAGATGTGAATTATGGATTGAATGCAAAATTAGCAAGAATTCCAATAAAAGAGACCCTCTGTGTAAGACTGATTGGGAGCAGCCACTGGACACTGGGATCTGGGAGGTGGGGCCCCACTGATCTGCCTCAATTAGATCAGCAACTCTGTTTTATGAATCTGTTTTATGAACTGGGTCCCTGGGTAAGGTTTAGTTTGAACAAAGGAATTCCCCAACCCAAGAGGAATGGGAGAGTGTTGCAAGCCACTGGCCTGGTACACTCCCTGGTGAGTGGTCTAAGGTATGTCTCCCAAGGCAGGTGGTACCCTCTAGTCCTGGAGGCTGCAGACCTGACTGTCCCAGGTGTGGCCCTTGTACAAAGCCCAAACCGACTCACCTTCTTGGTTGTCAGGATACCATGGTTGCTCTCAGGGTGGGTGGTGATGGTAAAATGGTCCCCGTTGTCACCTTCCACGATGCGGTAGGTAGCCTGCCATGCCGGTGAGTTGGGGGCATCCAGATCGGTCACTGTCAGCCTCTGCAGCTCGTGGCCCACTGCGTTCTCAGGCACACGGGCCTCGTACTGTCAGCGTGGGAAGCACAGCACAGTCAGAGCGGAGAGACTGACCACCTTGAGAGGCTGTTCCACTCTTCACTGGCTGTGAATCCTCCATCCAACTCCAGGGGCGCCCCATGCCGCTCACCCTTTCCTGGACCGCCCAACCCTCTTATTGGGGTTTCAAGGCATGCATGGATGCAGAACATCCCAAGAGTCAGCCTCACAGCTGCTGGGACAGACCACGGCAATCTTGGGCCTGCTTTCCCTACACCCAGGGGCCTGACACTCCAGGAATCTCACTGATCTGGGTGCCCAAGGCCTCGCCATTGAGTAGTCACCTATATCTAGCTGAGATCAGAAAGGCATAAGGAAGGTGGCAAGAAGGGCTAAGTGTCTGATTGCTCTGGGGCACTGGCCAGGAACTTTTTGGAAATTCTGGAACAGGTGGCAAAGATGGGGAAATCAGCTGTTGAGAACAAATTTTTAATCAGGCCTAAACAATGCTTAGCCGTCAGAGTTACCTACAGATGGAAGGGGGTGGGTGTCACCTTGACTGGCACTGACTCCTCTGTTACGTGAGGTGTACAAGCATTCACTGGGGGAATGTGGGCAGGTATAGGTGTGAGGCAAATTAGGACTTTCCATATCAACAAAGATTTTCATATTGAGCACTTGTGTACCTGGGATTGTGTTAAGAACTGTACATAGATTATTTCATTTAAAACTCAGAAAAATGCAGCAGGAGACAATGGAGCATCATCTCCATTTCACAGATTAGGAAATAGGGCACAGAGAGGTTAGGTAGTTCACCTCAGGTCACAAAGCTCACAAGTGCTGGGACTGGGACTTGAAGCAATGTAGGCTGGTTCCGGAGTTTCATCAGAAAGGAGAAACTTAGTCCTTCATCATCTGACGAGGGAAGAAGGAAGGAAGGGGCATTACCTGCTGGGGCTGAAACACAGGAGCGTTGTCATTGGCATCGAGGATTTCCACTATGGCCATAGCCGTGGTGCTGGAGCCGTCCCCGTTCATGTCCGTAGCCTGGATGGTCAGTGTGTACTCAGGGACTCTCTGGGGAGAAAAGGAGAGTAGAAGTGGAAGGCCACTGCGCGTTGGGCACAGCCTTGGGTGTACGGGGAGGGAAGTGGAATGTTCCTCCCTCTAAGTGTTCTCTTGATTCCTGACCCACTGCTTGCCCACTGCAGAAAAGACCAGAAGCAAAGGGTGGAGGGGGAGGGGAACTGTGGATCCAAACGGTTCTCCTGGGCCTGTCGTGGGATGAAGCCTGGGCATTGCTTCCTGACCCTGGGTGGACGCAGAATGGGAGCTTTGAGTGTGGATTTGGGCAAAGGTATTAATTAGGGAACAGGAGGCAACTCTAATATCCATGGAGCTAATTCTGCTTTGTGGCACACACGGGACAAATCTGGGCAATGTGCGTGCTAAGTGAGCCATGCCGAGAGGAAATGAGAAAACCTGCAGAAAGTATTAAACGTCTGTGTTTTACAGCTGCCTCCTCAGCCTTAACGAGATGGTTTGGCAACGTGCCACTGGCCCAAGGGAGCTGCAGGACATCAATGTGGGACATAGCAGCAGCCATTCCCAGCTGACTTGGGTCCCCACTGCTCTGCCCTGGGCTTTGGGGGCAGAGGCTTCTGCTCTGAGTGTCAGACCCCAGCCTGGGCTAGCCTGGGCAGGCAGCACCTTCCCGAAGGGCCACTTACCTCCCGGTCCAGGCCACTGGAGACGACACTGATGGTGCCTGTGCTCCGGTGGACCGTGAACATGAGGTCCTTTGGCTCTTGACTATGGATGGAATAAGCAACCACCCCATTGTAGGTGTTGATGGCATCGTCCTCATCCGTGGCTGTCACCTGCATCACAGAAGTGCCTGGAGGGGAGAAGCGCCGCTGAGTGCGCAACCTTCCCTTCCAGCTCCGATTCCAGCCTTGCCCACTTCTGGAACTCCGAGAGGCTCCACCCTGCTCGCTGGCTTGGCCCCATGTTCCACTCGTGGCAGAGATTGCTAATTGGTGCCCATTTCCCATTCTCCCCTTCCTTCTTAGAAACATAATCCTCATAATCATTCTAGGCTGAGCACAAGCCCACCGGGAACCAAAACTATTTCGCTTCTTGCAGCTAGCTGTGGCCACGAGACTGAAATCTGACGAATGGGATATACAGCTTTGGGGGAAGCATTTTTCTGAGTTAAGGGGCTTATTCTTCCCACCCCTTCCCTCCTTCCAGATATAATGGCCAGAGCTCCAGCAGCAACCATGAGGTAATCTTGGGAATAAAGCCAAAACAGCAGAGCAACGAGATGGAAGGAGCCTAGTTCCCCCACACGTTAAAGCACCGTTCCAGCCTGGCTTGACCACCTCTAGGCTTCCTCAATACAAAGGGGGAAAAGGTTCCATATTGTTGAAGGTACTGTTTTTCTTCCGGAAATGTCTATTATTGGCAACCTAACCAACTCACATTTCTCTGTAATTCTTCACAACTCAGAGACAAAGGGAGAGGAGGAGCCCTCCTCACCAGCACTGTCTTTGAGGTCATTAATGTCACCTAGTTCTCTAGTCTTTTGCCAGCCTCTCTCACCCTCTTCCCCAGCCTGACAATTCATCTTCTGCTTTCTCTCACCCTTTGCCACCCTCCTTGCAGCTGCCATTTCCCCAAAGAACCTCATGTCAGGTGCTTCATATCACACAGCAGTAGGCATGTGTTATTTCTAATCTTCACAGCTCTTTACGGTTGATATTATCCCCATTTTCAGGTGTGAAGATGGAGGCTCAGAGGTCAAGACCTTGCGCAGGGTCACAGCAGATGAGAGACAAAATCCAGATTCAAATATAGGTCTCTGCAGCTCCAAAGCTGCAGCTGGCTGATCATCTGAAGCTTCTGGGAAATTTTCAAATACACAGATTCTGGGGCTCTACTCCAGGATCATTCTTATTCAGGGATCTTGGGATGGAGTGAGGGAATCTGGATTTTTAAGAAGATCCCAGGTAATCTGAGGCACAGCCCAGGAAATCAGGTATGAAGGCTTCTTCCAGCCTTTAAGAGTCTGGGCTGATTCCAGAAGTGGACCCAAGGCCAGGTCTGGGCCCAGCAGACCTCTATAGCTGTGCCCTCCCCAGTCCTCTTACCGGGTAGTACCCCTTCCAAGATGCTCCCTCTGAAGACATCCTGGGTGAACCTGGGCTTGTGGTCATTCTGGTCTGTTACGATGATGGAGATGTTCATGGGCTCTTCCACGGAGGCACCGTTCTCCGACACAGCGTGGCCAAAGAGCTGTAGGTACACAGGCCTGGGGTCAGCCTGGCACTACCCTTCCTGGGGCCCTGCTTCTCGTTGGACGCTAAAGGTTACTTGCCTCATACTCGGCAATTTTCTCCCGGTCCAGTGGTTTATTCAACAGCAACCAGCCCGTTTCCTTCTCTATGGTGAAGACACCCTCAGGGGGGCTGTCTGCCCCAGGCCCCGTGATGCTGTAGAAAATCTTGGTGCCTCTGTCTTTATTAGATTTGAGCTGGAAGCAAAAGAAAATGGCAGCTGACAAAGTGACAAATATCTCATGATTGTAGCAAAGAACCCTCTGTGGGGAGGGGTGGAGAGGCACCGCCTGATTAGAAATTGCTCCCATCAGAGAGCTTCCCTCTGCGGGCCCCAGGGCTCAGTAGCAAGAAACCTCATATTCAGGCCTTTGAATGAGAGTCCCTGAAGACACCAATGACTCCCAGGGAGAAGGCACAGTCATACCTGATGCAGCTTCTGGGGGAAGGGACCCTTGCCATTCTCAGGGACAAATATTGGCGGGACCACCCAATCTCTCTTGCGTCTTCGCAAGATACGTTTGGATGGGGAGATCTTCAATGCTTTCCTTTCCTGCAAGGAGAGAAGACCCCTTAACCCAGGTGTGCAAACAACGGGAACATACCCAACATCCTCTCATCTACAGGGGCTCATGGCAAGGACAGAGGCCCAGATGGGTTTATTGTAAAAGAAAACTTGGAAATAATCTAAGTGTTCACTTATAGAGAAGGCTCAATTAAATACACTATAATACATCCATCTAGTGGAAATTGTATACAGCTTGAAAAATGAGGGATGTCTCTCTGTGCTGGCATGGAAAGATCTTTGATATATATCCATACTTAAGTGAAAAAGAACAAGATATGGAACAGCTTAATGTAGTTTAGTATTTTATTTAACAAACACTTACATAGGGCTTAATATGTGCCAGGCACTGTTCCATCTTTTGTGTAAAAGGGTGGGAAAATAAGGCATATATTCACATCTGCTTATATACAGACAAAGTCTGGGGGATACTAGAAGCTTATAACGGTGGTTATCTGTGAGAAGGGGATAGGCAGTGTACTGATGTATTTTTCAGTGCAAAAAGAAGGTGCAGACATGTGAATAGTATGTTAGTTTTGCATAAAAGAGGACCGAAAAGTTTATTTTATACCTATATATAACATATATAAATATATTTAATATAAATATAGAACAAATACATAAATTAGAAGGAAAGTAACAGGTCTTCTCTTTGAGGGGTAGAGAGGGCATTAGACATAGGGGGAGAAAAAAGGGGAGGTTATTCATTCTAAAACTTTTTAATATTTAAAATTTTGAACGATGTGGATATATTAGCTGCTCAAAAAATTAAATTAGACAAAACAAAGAAATGTGGCCAAGAGCCTCAGGTCCATCTTCCCAAAGGTTCATGAGATTGGCAGTCCTGTGTTGGGATCACCTTCACTTGCGGTTTACCGGCATGATATGGGAAAGAAGGAAAGGGAGATGGGACAGGGAATTCAAGGGAGGAAGGGCACCGGGCCATTACTCACAAAGCAGCTCTGGGCCCCCCTTGCCTGACTCTGGTGCCCCCTCCTGGGCAGCTGCAAACACTACCCTGCTTAGATCGGTACCCACGCGCACAGCTATGGGCAACTGAGGTCTAACCCTGCGTCCTCTGCAGGGGTAACATGGCTCACAACAGCCACGGCAACCTCGGTCTCCTGGCCAGCAGCAAGCTGGGCATGCACGGAGAATGTCTTTCTTCTCTCCTGAAGGTGGACATGGTTACCTGGACTGTTTTGTTGTTCAGAACAGTGAAGTCATCATCAGTCAGCAGGGCCGACTCTTGCCCAGGGCAGTCCGTGAAAACTACTGTGGGGAAGGGAGGAAAAGAGTATTAGGAAGGAGGGGCTTCTGGAAGATACCCCATGGGAGCCAAGACCTGACAACAGCCCCCTGACTAGATCAAGCCACTGCAGAAGGAGACTTGGCTTACTTCCTCTGACCAGCAATGTGATCAAATATGAGTTTCAGATGGGCTTCTGAGTTTGGTCTCAAGAGGGCGGACCACTTCCTGGTTTGTGGGCCGAAGAACCAAAATCATAGCTATTCAGCGACATTAGCCCCATGGAGTCTCACGAGACATAGAGTTGACCCAAGGTCACAGCTGGAGGCAGAAGATTTTAAGCCTTTCCGAAGGCTATGAGTCTACATATGCGCTGTATGCATCCTGCTACACCGTCACCCACACAGATCATTCTGGATAACCTCGGGTTGTTTCAGTCTGTCATGCTCCTTCTGAATCCTCCCTGCTTGGCCGCCCTCTAAACAAGCACTCTGAGTTAATAACTACTATTCGTTAATCCGGAGACTGGGCCCATTTCATCTTTACAACTATGCTGCCAAGTTAGGTATGAGCTCCTTTACAAAGATGAGAAAACTGAGGTTCAGAAGCCAGGTCAGCCTGACTCCAAGGCATACGCTAGAGAGTATTCACAACCAATGTTCTTACCCACCCTTCCTTGTGGCCAAAGCATGGAGTCAGGAAACCTGCCAGGGGCTACAACTGGGCCCATCGGCAACATGCCCTGACCCAGGCGTTCCCATAGCGCTGGCCCAGACACCAGCGCTCCGCAGTGTACTCGGCTGCAGCACGACCAGGACCAGAGGGACAGTGCTGTGCCCTGGGAAGGTCAGCGTGAGCTCTCCCAACTGTCCTTTAGTTTCAGACGATGACGACAATTGTTTTAAATAATCCTTCCCTAAAATAAGAAAGGATAACAGATGAGGGTTTTTAAACTACAAAAGTAATGTGACAGAAGGAAGAAGAACTACAATCCTGCAGCCTGTGGAACAAAAACCACATTCACAGAAAGACAGACAAGATGAAAAGGCAGAGGGCTATGTACCAGATGAAGGAACAAGATAAAACTCCAGAAAAACAACTAAATGAAGAGAGAGGCAACCTTCCAGGAAAAGAACTTAGAATAATGATAGTGAAGATGATCCAGGACCTCGGAAAAAGAATGGAGGCAAAGATCGAGGAGATGCAGGAAATGTTTAACAAAGGCCTAGAAGAATTAAAGAACAAACAAACAGAGATGAACAATATAATAACTGAAATGAAAATTACACTAGAAGGAATCAATAGCAGAATAACTGAGGCAGAAGAACGGATAAGTGACCTGGAAGATAGAATGGTGGAATTCACTGCTGTGGAACAGAATAAAGAAAAAAGAATGAAAAGAAATGAAGACAGCCTAAGAGACCTCTGGGACAACATTAAATGCAACAACATTCACATTATAGGGGTCCCAGAAGGAGAAGAGAGAGAGAAAGGACCACAGAAAATATCTGAAGAGATTATAGTCGAAAATTTCCCTAACATGGTAAAGGAAATAGTCACCCAAGTCCAGGAAGTGCAGAGAGTCCCATACAGGATAAACCCAAGGAGAAACACGCTGAGACGCATACTAATCAAATTGGCAAAAATTAAAGACAAAGAAAAATTATTGAAAGCAGCAAGGGAAAAACGACAAATAACATACAAGGGAACTCCCATAAGGTTAACAGCTGATTTCTCAGCAGAAACTCTACAAGCCAGAAGGGAGTCACATGATATACTTAAAGTGATGAAAGGGAAGAACCTACAACCAAGATTACTCTTACCCGGCAAGGAGCTCATTCAAATTCGATGGAGAAATCAAAAGCTTTACAGACAAGCAAAAGCTAAGAGAATTCAGCACCACCAAACCAGCTCTACAACAAACGCTAAAGGAACTTCTCTAAGTGGGAAACACAAGAGAAGAAAAGGACCTACAAAAACAAACCCAAAACAATTAAGAAAATGGTCATAGGAACATACATATCGATAATTACCTTAAACGTGAATGGATTTAATGCTCCAGTCAAAATACATGGGCTTGATGAATGGATACAAAAACAAGACCCATCTATATGCTGTCTACAAGAGACCCACTTCAGACCTAGGGACACATACAGACTGAAAGTGAGGGGATGGAAAAAGATATTCCATGCAAATGGAAATCAAAAGAAAGCTGGAGTAGCAATACTCATATCAGATAAAATAGACTTTAAAATAAAGAATGTTACAAGAGACAAGGAAGGACACTATGTAATGATCAAGGGACCAATCCAAGAAGAAGATATAACAATTATAAATATATATGCACCCAACATAGGAGCACCTCAATACATAAGGCAACTGCTAACAGCTATAAAAGAGAAAATCGACAGTAACACTTTAACACCTCACTTACAACAATGGACAGATCATCCAAAATGAAAATAAATAAGGAAACAGAAGCTTTAAATGACACAATAGACCAGATAGATTTCATTGATATTTATAGGACATTCCATCCAAAAACAGCAGATTACACTTTCTTCTCAAGTGCGCATGGAACATTCTCCAGGATAGATCACATCTTGGTCACAAATCAAACCTCAGTAAATATAAGAAAATTGAAATCATATCAAGCATCTTTTCTGACCACAACGCTATGAGATTAGAAATGAATTACAGGGAAAAAAACGTAAAAAACACAAACACATGGAGGCTAAACAATACGTTACTAAATAACCAAGAGATCACTGAAGAAATCAAAGAGGAAATCAAAAAATACCTAGAGACAAATGACAATGAAAACATGACGATCCAAAACCTTTGGGATGCAGCAAAAGCAGTTCTAAGAGGGAAGTTTATAGCTATACAAGCCTACCTCAAGAAACAAGAAAAATCTCAAATAAACAATCTAACCTTACACCTAAAGGAACCAGAGAAAGAAGAACAAACAAAACCCAAAGTTAGCAGAAGGAAAGAAATCATAAAGATCAGAGCAGAAATAAATGAAATAGAAACAAAGAAAACAATAGCAAAGATCAATAAAACTAAAAGTTGGTTCTTTGAGAAGATAAACAAGCAAACAAAAAGTAATGTGAACATGATGAAGTATTCAAACAGTATATAAGAGTATAACATTAATAAAAAAAGAGTATAACATTAAAAAGTAGAATTCCAAACAATATCCAGACTATACAGTGAACTCCTAAAACTCAAGAACAACAAAAAACAAACAACCCAATTAAAAATAAGTAAATAAAAAGGCAAAGGAGTTGAAAAGACATTTCTTCAAATAAGGTATACAAATGGCCAATAAGCATATGAAAAAATGCTCAATATCATTAGTCATTAGGGAAATACGAATCAAAATAACAATGAGATACCACTTCATACCTACTAGGGTGGCAAAAAAAAAAAGTAAATAATGAGTGTTGGCAAGATGTAAAGACATGGGAACCCTCCTGCACTGGGAATGTGAAATGGTGCAGCCACTGTGAAAAACAGTTTGCTGGCTCCTCAGAAGGTAAACATAAAATTACCACATGATCCAGCAATTCTACTTTTAGGCATATACCTAAAAGAACTGAAGTAGGATCTCAAACAGATACTTGTACACATATTTTCATAGTATCACTATTCACAATAGCCAAAAGATGGAAACAACACAAGTGTCCATCAAGAGATGAATAGATAAACACAATGTGGTCTATACATACAATGGAATATTATTCAGTCTTTAAAAGGAATAAAGTTCTGACACATGCTGCAACATGGAAGAATCTTGAAAACATTATGCTAAGTAAAATAAGCTAGTCACAAAAGGGCAAATACTGCATGATTCCACTTATATGACGTACCTAGAATACTCAAATTAATAGACATAGAAAGTAGAATAGAAGTTACCAGGGGCTGGAGAGAGAGGGGAATGGGTAGTTATTGTTTAATGGGTACAGAGTTTCTGTTCGGGATGATGAAAAAGTTCTAGAGACAGACTATGGTGATGGTTGCACAACAATTTGAACGTACTTAACGTCACCGAATTTTTTAAATGGTTAAAATGGTCAAATTTTATGTTATGCATATTTTACCTCAATAAAAAAAAAAGTAGAAGTCTGATGTGGGAGTGTAAAATGGGATACTCATTTTGGAAAACTGTCGAGCAGTATTTGCTGAAGCTAAATATACACCTTCCCCAAGACCCAGCAATTTTACTTTGAGGTATAGACCCAACAAAGATACATTCACTAAAAGACAAGTATTATAATAGCCACAGCAGCACTGTCTATAATAGCTAAAGACTGGAAATAGCCCAAATGTCCATCAAGGTAGAATGAATAAAAATATGGTGGAATGTTCATATAATTAAATGAGTCAACCACAAGGACATACAACAACATGAATGAATCTTACAAACACGGTTGAGTGACAGAAGCCAGATACAAGAGAGGACACATGTATGATTCCATTAACATGAAGTTCAAAAACAGGTAAAACTAACTTGGGTGAAAGAACTTAGGACACTGGCCATCTTTTGGGGAGAGGCTTAGCGCATGGAGGGGAGGAAGATGGAGGGCTTAAAAGCATACAGAGCTGCCTTCAGCTCCCCAGAGCCCCAGAGCTCACACACAGAGGCAGGTTCCTTCATGGGAAGGCTGGAGTGTGTCCCTGAGAAAGAGAAGATTGCTTAGATACCAGCCCTGCCTCCTTGACGACATCCTCACTGAGGAGTCACGGGCTGTAACAACATGCTCGGCCGGTGGGAGGAGGGGAAAGAGGGATCTCAGCCTGAGTCAGTTCCAAAGGGTCCCAGGGGCAGGGAGATTCCCAGAGTGACCTTGCCCTTTACCTCCAGCACACAGCTTTGTACTCTCATCTTCTGAGGAATCTTGCTTTGCCTTTGGGCTAAAAAAGACAAGGAATGATATGTGGCAGAGTTTAAATCATCTTAATACAGGGCAAAAGTTAAATAATCTATGGGGCATGCACTCCATGGATTTTTTATCCAGCT